CTATTTGTCTCAACCCAAGGAGACCATCTAACACGATAGTGAATTACATTGAGATATCTTATACTACTGATATCTATTCATGTACAGTTATGTATATGTATATAGATCCGTGAGTTCATAACCGAATGTTTTACAGACCCGCGGAGCTGTCGAACAAGTATATGTATATACCCTAACCCCAAACCCTAACCGATCGGCTATCTGACTTGCATATGTTTACCTTCGTGTCTTCATACTGAAACTCATTCTCATATTTTTACCTTCATAACTTCATAGTGAAGTTTATTCTTATTGTTTACATTCATATCTCGATACGTAAGCTCCTTCTTATATGTTTGTCTCTATATGTGTAGGTCAGACAACGACATACACTCTACTACACCATGTCTGTGGGATCGTGTCTGTGCCGACAGACAGCTGTACGTCAATGTCGCCTACAAACCACCGAAGTCAGATTGCCATAGTAACGCACACATGTACACCCCTCCGTTAAGACCTACGAATAGTCAGAGGTTCTTGAGGCTGTGGCCTGAGTACTACCACAGATACTACTATCTGCTGCCCACGAGTGAGTGTGATGTAGCCAAACCCACCAAGCCCAAGCTCACCAGCAAGGGTGCGAGGTGTGTGTTTGTGTGTGTTTGTATGTGCTTGCGTGTTTGTGTGTGTTTGTGTGTGTTTGCGTATATATATGTGTGTGTTTGTATGTGTTTGCGTGTTTGTGTGTGTTTGTATGTGTTTGTGTGTTTGTGTGTGTTTGCGTATATGCGTGTGTTGTTTGCGTATATATATATATGTGTGTGTTTGTATTTACTTCATGGACTAGTCATGTGGTTGTGTATATGCAGTTGTCCGTTGTTTGCATCTCCCGTATACTTTTCCGTTGAGACCTGCGAAGAGTCAGAGATTCTCGAGTTGTGGTATGAGTACTACCACAGTCACGACTATCTGCGGCCCTCCAGTGAGTGCGATGTAGCCAAGCCAACCAACCCCAAAGTCGCCCGCGAGAGTGCTAGAGATGTGCGAATAGGCGTGTGTGTGCGTGTATTCTTTGTGCGTATGTTTCTTGAGTTCATGTTCTATCGTTCTAAATATAGAATCTACCTACCATTCTAGGGGTAAACTAAATATAGAATCTACCTAGAATTCTAAGGGTAAGCAAAGCCGCTCACATTCCCCATGCTTGCCTCAACCTCAACGAAATTCAGAAGACAGCGAATGTCGATACCTTGCAACCCCTACCCTTACTATATACATATGCCCACTCCAATGAATCTATTTATAGAATCTATCCACCATTTCAGGGGTATCCCCCCACGTAGCTCCCGAAGTCGTCCCTAGTCAGCATACAGGGACACCGCATATAATCAGACAATCTTTGTTCAGTCTTTGCCCTCACTACACACACTGCTACTCCCATTGTTCTAATTATAGAATGTATCTACCACCCCAGGGGTAAACAACGCCGGCCACTGTCCCCGTACTCGCCTCAGCCCCAGCGGTCGTCCCTAGCCAGCATGCTGGAACATCGCCTACAACTGGACAACCCACTTCAATCCCTGCCATCCGACTTCAACACAGACGCCGAGGGAGACACCATAGAGACCGACTCAGGCGACAGTGCAGATGAGGACGAAGATGACGGCATATACAGCGCATCTGTCTCCAGACAGAACTCCGCGAACGTATGTGTAATATATATATATATATATATATATATAGTGACACCATCTGTGTGTGTTTGTAAGTGGAGGTACACGTGTCATCAGTAACAGTGCGTGGTAGGATGTTTCTTGTGTCTATATATATATAGAGTGCTCGTGTCCAGTGACAGTACAGATGTGGTGGATGAGGGTGGGTTATGCAGCACAGCCATCCATCTATAAACACAATCCTGAGTGTGCGGGCAACATCTCTGTGTGTGCGTATGTAATATACACATGACAAAAATGGTAACCACTAAAGTAAGAAAGCCGTCTATCCCTATATAAAATGAACAGGATATCAGGACTCTTTACGACATTATTGTTTCCTCGCTCTCCTCTCTGCGAATTGTCATAAACCCTCAACCCTAAAGATTATAGGAATAAATATCTCTCTTGCACGATTGATAAACCACTCTCCCCTCTGTGAATTGTCAGGACACGCAAAGTCATGGAAGACCCAAGATTTCTATTTTGTTACTAACATGACAGGAACATAAAACTCACCTAACATGATCGTTCAACCCTTATTTGCAACAGCTTGCCCTCGGCGAGGACGGCATGGGAAAGGGTCTGGACGCACCATTTCCATCCCACATCTCAGAAGGTGTGTTGCCGTACTGGGTTCAAACCCTATAACCTTAAAACCCTAGAACCCGTGCCGATTGATAGGAATGTAGGAATGTGTGTGCTTCTATATCACTAGCTCGAGCTATCGGTAGGAGTTGAGTTAGAATGGTAGCGAAATATCGATCTGTAATCCATTAACCCTACATCCTATAACCCTA